TAAGTATATATATGTGTGTGTGTGTGTGTGTGTGTGTGTGTGTGTGTGTGTGTGTGTGTGTCTGTGTGTGTGTGTGCGTGCGTGCGTGCGTGCGTGCGTGCGTGCGTGCGTGCGTGTGTGCGTGCGTGCGTGCGTGCGTGAGTATGTATAGTATCAAAATATGTCACTACTAGTATTGATGCGTTTTTTGTATAACACAATTAGAGTTACTGCTAGAGTATGTGTTAGAAACACAGTATGTGTAGGAATTAAGAACATGCATGTGTAGAGTATTTGTAAGAAACAAGGACTATAACACAAGCAATTTATATCATTTTTTGGCCGTATTTTCGTACAGCATTCGCTAAGGGTTCGTATCCAGAGAGACATGATACAAGATTGCGTGACACAGCTTTGCTGTTGATCCCGTGCGCAGCGCGCGGATGAGACGCGCAGTTCCGCGAGATATGCGCACGCGACCGCGGGGATGTTCAAGTATGAAGCGCTGTCCGCAGCGGAGACGTGCGCCAAATTCGAAGCCCGGCGCACGTCTCCACAGCGGTCAGCGGGTGGTCTGTAGTTTTAGAAGATAACAATGAAGACTTTGTTCTAAATAAGAACTATCGGCGGCTAAATAAGAGCAACATACAGACCTTTGAATTTCTTGACTAGTCAGTCAAAGGGCTTGTTGGGGGTCCATTATGCAGAGCTTCCATGGCCCATGAAATTGCCCATGGCCCATGAAATGGCCCATGAAATTGTCAAGTGGAATTGTGTTTTTCGGAACCTCAAAGAAAATGTCTCTCTCTTACATGCACCCCCTCCCTGATCAATCACGCATTCAGGCGTAAACAATAACAGAGATGAAATTGTGTTGAGTTTATGGCTCTTGGCGCACGTGCATTGACGTACAAGACTGATGAAAGGGCTTGAAAGGTCTCAATAAAAATAAATCTTTACACAATTTTTCACAATGATCGACCGCCTGTGTGCAAAATAGGTGAACGTATGTGAAACATATACGGTTAGTACTTACTGTGACATATCCGTGAATAACTGACATCACTAAATTGGTAAAATGTTCCATGCACCTTAAGAAATGTGAGAAATTACGAGGTTATCATCGCAAAACTCCCGAACACCGTACGTCACAAAGCTATAATATAAATTATGTAAACAAACACGCGGGTTGCGAGGTGCCTGCGGGCAAGACGTCACAAACACAGTTACGTTCATTGGCTAAAACAATCGAGTAGCGCGGTTAGGGATTTTCGAAATTATTTAATTTTAAGAAAAACCTCAATGTTCAATGAATGACGCACTCGTTCACTTCCGAAAGCGGGTAAAAATAATTTGTTAACCTAATTTTTCCACTTCGGTGCGAACTGCATCGGCCGGGCCTTTCATTATTTACGAAAAGCAAACAGTCTCGCCAAACACCTACACGCAGTAACGGGTCACGTCGTTGATGCCCCATTCATGCCCATCAACGAAGAAGGCGGGGCATATTCCGATTACGGAGATGCCAAAATGCAACAGAAGGACGTAGCGCCGTGCGCTAAACGGCGTGCTATTTTCGTTTTTGTGCCAAACTCTATCGTAGGAAACCGTTCTAGCTTAGCAGAATGCCCTAGTTCCTGAGATCGGAGATTTGGTACTGTGATGGGTCCCCACCTTATATTATATTATAGAGAGGTGCGGCGTAGGCTGTGATTGGAAGACACAATGTGTCAATCCTCGGCGTACGTATCTCGCATATAGCACACAACATAGTTAATTATATTTAATTCCTTTATTATCATGTCTATTATCATATTATACCATGGAATAATTAGTGTTTAAAAATCCTATATTCACAGTGTTTATGGGTATAACATAGTTTGGCCTAGGAAAATGCCGTATGACGTATATCTCAGTTATAATGTAAGTCGTATTACAGTATATCTAAGAAATAATCTCGTATCAACTGATCGTATCTTGCTGATATCTATTTCATTTAACACGGTAATTACTGAAGAGTGTAGACAAATTTACGCGATTGTATTTGCGACCGTGAAAACGCGAGTTTTTCCTGCTAACTCACGTCTGATGGTGGTAGATCCAGATATTTTGCCTGGGGGAATTCCAACTTATTGCCGATTCCGTCCTCGTGCGTGCGCGAGACTTGACTGGTTTTTCCGGCTACAATATAGGTGGCGTACAACAGTAGAAGGCGTCCATAGGCAGCAGGCCTGAATGAGCATCGAGCAGAAATTGCTTCAAAATACCCACAGTGTTTCGTCGCATAACATAACATACACTTTATTCATGTTAAATAACCACAGATTCATGCTCTATACTCCGCTCGCAACTTTTGCCAGCCATATGATGCGCATTTCTACAGAGTAGTCGGATCCAGTTTCAAACACAAAAATGGGCGACCGGTCACCATGGCTACGCCACTTGTCGGAATAGCACAATTACACGACAATACCAACCTTACTTCTAATGCTTTCTAGACGTCCACGAGGCATCTATCCTGTGTGCATAATGCAAATTATTGCACTCTAGTGCCGAATTTCACCATGAAAAATTTAAAAAAAAAATCTTTTCTAGGGACCAAATAGTGCAACAATTTGCATGCAGAAGGTTACTGTTGTATGCCTTCTATAGACTGACCTCGACGCCCTTGGTTCCGCAACGGCACACCGGGTACAGTGTAGTTTAAATACTGTATAAGCCGTATTTTTCGCGTACAGATATTTTCGCGAATTCAAACTTGACGGACAATTTCGCGAGTGGTTAATTTCGCGGTCCGTGAACTCTGAATTATTCGGTATCATTCGGTATGAATTATTCGCGTGTTGTTATTTTCGCGGTCGCGGACGCGTTCGCGAAATTTGCGAAAATTAAATCACCGCGAAATATACAGCTCCTACAGTAGCTGCAAGGAACAGCAGTAAACGCACCGCGTACGACGCAGAACCGAATGGTATCCGGTAGTTTTGTTTCTTGGCACTAATTGCTGACTTGAAAAAATCAGTCTTATTAATTTTACTTGCGGCGACTATACAATACTATACAATACTATACAATACTATCAATACTATACAATACTATACAATACTATACAATACTATACAATATTATACAATACTATACAATACGTCTCTGCCGGTACAGAAGTGATGAACAATCGCTCACGTGATAACACATGCATCAGCTACTGCACGCACATGCAAGATTTAGTTCCGAAAATAAATTAGCTGGCTCCGTAATAAAAGCGGGGACTATCTTCTAGGCCGACTTGTATTTTACTTTATAATTATGTGATATCACGCTCATGCCTGATAAACGCATTATGCGGGACGCCCGCCGGTCGGTATTAAGAACTCGCAAAAAGCATGCAGCCATTTGGATTAAATTTCAATTCAGATGCTTCGCTTGCCTATCTGCGCACACGTTTTCGAAGACAATCGAGCCTAGTCGTTCGGAAATTGATCAACTAAACTGATGAAAATTTTCTGTAATTATGTTTATAATTGTACGATTAGTTGAATTAAAGATGCCATCAACAAGAGTCGAGGTTTCTCACGTGAAACCCAACCAGGCTCATGTGGGGCTGGCGGTGGGGGCATGCGTGATTAGGCCTATAATACTAATGTTACCATAACTATATATTCTTCTTAATCTTCTTCTTCCTCTTCTTCTTCTCCTTCTATTATTATTTTTATTTTTATTATTTATATTATTATTATTATTATTCACTGAAATACAACGTAGGAATGTAGTCTAGCGTGCCCTAGTCTTTTGTGTTTGGTACGATAAAAGCTATAGCTCTCACGGCCGGTGCAACAAACTCTATCGGTACAAAGAAAAATAAATTACCGTTCAATCGCCGTCGTTGACGTCTACCGCACGAACAGAGCTGAAAAGGCGTTCAGGGCACTCACTTGTCGTCGAGATTTTTTTACAATGATAATCTGGGGGCTTTGACTAGCATTATGTGCAGCTATGTGAAATATGAAACATTTCGGGAGTTATCGCGTGAGAACGGCGGTATAACGCACAAGCGATCTATCCATTCACGCGGTACTCACTGTCAGCAACCGTCTGCGAGCGCCCGGCGAAAACTGGAAAATCCAGTACGATTCAGCGATCGTTTCAAAAAAGCCTCTCGTGTGGCAGTGAACATCAGATTACGGGACAAGTCGGACGGGAAGAGAATTAACCGGGTGCCCGCCGAGCGAGCGCATTGCAGCGGAGCGCTCCGAATCTAACACGGAATTTCTATTCACCGCAGGTGTGCTGAGCGAAGTCGCAGTATGAGGCAAGACGTCCCGTAGCGATAACCAGCGGGCATGGCTCTCACCTCTCTGCCTGCATGACTGAGCTGGCGGCGTGCACACGCACTACGACAATTGACACCGCATTGCTGCAACGTCGACGAGAAAAGACGCTGCGAGCAAAAGGATGCTGCGAGGAGAAGAGATAGATTGAACTTTGCCTGGAGACACCTGTTGATGTCTTCTCGTTCGCGTTGACACTTGTTAAGGCTTACGCCCACTGCGTGAAACGCCGCCTCGACAGGCACTGCATGCCGATCTCGTTCTCCGTGGCTGGCTGCAGACGAACGACTGGAGCCATCGCAATGTCGTCGGCGCTCAAGAAAACGATATGCGGCTTGCTCGCATGCACCTTCGTGTTGGCTTTCAATCAGTACACGCACACGCCACCAGCGATTGCGATCACGCCAAAGGCGGCCGCACCGCAAAACCTCTCTACGGTGGCGCCACCACCCGGCGACACGATCAGCGTCGTCGGCGCCGACCGGGTGTTCACGTACGGCCGCGACGTACCGATCATTTTTATAGGAGGCGTCCCGCGCAGCGGCACGACGCTCATGCGCGTCATGCTCGACGCTCACCCGGACATCCGCTGTGGCGAGGAGTCGCGAGTGCTGCCGCGTCTCGTCGGCATGCGCAACCAGTGGTACGCGTCGCCGCGCGAGGTGTGGCGCCTCGAGGCGGCCGGCCTGCGACGCGACGTCATCGACGACGCCGTCGCCGCCTTCATTCTGAAGGTGATCGCGCAGCACGGCGAGCCAGCGCCGCGGCTCTGCAACAAGGACCCGTTCATGATGAAGAGCGCCACCTACCTCGCCGACATGTTTCCCGGCGCCAAGTTCCTGCTGATGGTGCGCGACGGTCGCGCCACCGTTCATTCGGTGATCACGCGCGGCGTCACCATCTCGGGCTTCGACCTGCGCAGCTACAGGCAGTGCATGGCCCGCTGGAATCTGGCCATGTTGGCGATGCACAGGCAATGCGAGGAGGTCAGCATTGATGGCGCGTTGTAATGCAGCAGATGCACGATTGATGCACGAATGGTCGGACTATACGTGTCTATTAGTACAACCAAGAGCTAATAATCCAGCATAATTAATGTATTATTAATGCATAATTAATGTATTATTTGCTCTTAGTACAACGCAATGGCGCTGTCAGGGGCTTGATGGGTCTCGCGATTACAAGACGTGGGATGTGAGGCGTTTCTTACGGTCACACACATATATAGGCAAGCGCACACACACACGCACGCCCCCGACACACGAAATTTATTGTTGTTTAGGTGATCGTTGTTTTTTGTCGTTGAGTGTGTTGTTGTTAATGTTGTTGTTGCTTGTCGTTGTCATTGTATGTGTTTTTGATTGTTGTTGGCGCTGTTTGTTGTTGTTATTGTTGTTGTTGTTGTTGTTGCTGCTGCTGCTGCTGCTGCTGCGGTTGTCTGTGTTGTTACTGTTGTCTGTGTTGTTGTTGTTGTTGTTATTGTTGTATTTGTTGATGTAGTTGTTGTGGTTGTTGTTGTTAATGATGCTGATAGACATCGCATGCTGTTTACAGGTGGGTCCCACGCGCTGCATGCACGTGTATTACGAACAGTTGGTGCTGCATCCAGAGACAGAACTCCGCAAGATTCTTAAGTTCCTCGATGTTCCATGGCATGACTCAGTTCTGCACCACGACGAGCTCATAGGCAAGAAGATTTCTCTTTCCAAGTGAGTGCAGATGAGAGGAATTCCAATCCTATTTATCTATCTATAAATATATAGCTGTGTATATATAAGTGTAGCTATATATATATATATATATATATATATATATATATATATAAATAGATAATAGATAAATAGAATAAGTCAATAGATTAGATAGATAGATAAAGATAGATAGATAGATAGATAGATAGATTAGATAGATAGATAGATAGATAGATAGATAGATAGAATAGATAGATAGATAGATAGATAGATAGATAGATAGATATGATAGATAGATGAATAGATTAAGATAGATAGATAGATAGATAGATATAGATAGATAAAGTTTATTACAAAAACTAGATATTTACAGCGTTACAAATTAAAATAAGTTTAGCAAACACGATGTCCAGGCAGTATAAAACTGAAATTGATGATATTTTACAATGAATAATATATGTCCATGTAAGACATAGATATCGAGAATCTATATATATGAGAATGTTGAAAAGCAAAAAGAGGACACGTGAACATTGAAACTATTCTAGACAAAATATAACAAAGCAAACGAGATTGCCTGGCCTTCTGTTAAAGCAGCGTACAGTAATATTACCTGTTTGACTTGTTGTTTAGTGTTTAGAGGTTATATTTACGAAATATATATTTCAATTGATCTTCCTAATGTTAGCGGAAATACTTCATTCAGATTCTCTATATACATTTAAAGTTTTGCTATTATTTTACCGTATCAGCGTCGAGAGAAGCTCAGACCAGTGTGATCAAACCAGCTGAACGCTAGACCTCCAGCAATTGGGTGGGGAAGATGCCACCGATGTCATCAGGTGAGTGGTGCGCAGCGCTCCAGTGTCGTGCATTCCTGCGCGCTCGTATGCATGCAGTGCATGCGTGCGCGCCGTATGGCGTGCGCAGCGTATAGGTGTAACGTAAATGTGTGTAGGTGGTGGTGTGTTGTGTGTGTGTGTGTGTGTGTGTTGTGTGTGTGTGTGTTTGTGTAGTGTGTTGTGTGTGTGCGCAGCACGCAGCCGCGCCGCACGTGTGTGTGTGTGGTGTGTTGTGTATGTGTGTTTGTGTGTGTGTGTGGTGTGTGGTGTGATATGTGTGTAGTTGCAGGGCCGTAGGCTGAGCAAATTCCTAGGGGGGGGAGGCAAAATTTCATGACTCAACTGCGTAATGATGAGCGACGAGCGCAGCTCTTGATCGACGTCCATAGTGCGGTATATGGTGGGTCTGAGACAAGGCTTTCAAGGATAAGTAATCAAAAAATCAAGTTAGGGTTATTTACGATTATTAGCTAATATAAACCTATTTTTAAATTTTGCTCCAAAATCTAGGGGGACAGCTGCCTCCCTTGCCCCCCCCCTAGAGGCTACGGCCCTGTGTTGCTACCAAGCAAATGAACCGCCACCGCCACGGCAGACACACAAAGAGGCGGCGCCATGCAGCTATCAGCTAGCCTACTGTCTCCCATGCAAATTCCGTATTATTTGCTTAGCACCCGCACAATGTAGGGCGTTGTACCGTGACATATTCTATAAGATTATTTATATATAGGGTGCGAGTTGACTCGCATGCAGGGTCGATTTAAATCTCGACCAGACTGCAATAAAGAATTTGGGTTGGCGACCTTTATTTGATGAGAGATTAGGCACGCGCAGCTTAGTAAAGAATAAAACTCGACCATGATTTCATACCGCGAGAATAACGAGTTATGCGGACATAGACCTATACTTGGCTGTCGTAGCTACCACCGACGCTCCCCCGGGCACTCGCTTCACGGCTACTGTGACTGGACTTTCGAGAGGGCGATCACGTTACGCCAACTTTAAATTTTAAGATCGCTGCCGTGAGTCTGCATTCATGAACCAGGAAGAGCTGCTGATGCCTACAGGACAGCCTATACTTGGCCCACGCGTGACGTCACACCTGTGACTGTACATTGCTAGACGTTACATGCATGCCAGTTGATGCAGCATGACTTGCATGTCTGATATATAATTCGTAAGCAGCTTACATTCTCTGAGCCTATATAACAATTCAATGTACATATACGCGATGGCCCGTAGGTTGAGTGTCTATCGTTTATGAATTGACAGGTTATGCATGGGTAACCTTAGCGATATTTATTAAGTCCACGGCACATCTGGTGCAGTGTAGTTGTGTGCGTGCGAGTGTGCCACGTCTTCCACAATTTATCATCTTTAATTTGGTTTATAATCTCTGGAAATGTAAAAATCTCAACGATTTCTAATATGTATATATTTCCATTTTTGGGAGGGTACTACTCAGAAAATAAGGAAACGAATAAGAGTACGTACAATAAAGTCACCCATATGAATTTGTAAATTGCACATACAATTACAATTGACATTACAATTTACAATATTGTCCATATACAGTAAAAACCTGCGTATAACAACCTACATTTTTCCAAGTTAGCCTAAAACGGTTCTTATATAATTAGTATTTACTGGGAAATTAGGCTATTTAGGTTCTTAAATATGTTTTTTTTTTATTAAGGAAAAAAGTGCTTGTTGTTGGTAGAATATTGGTGCGGTCCATTGTTTATATAAAATATACATATAATTATGCCTAAATGACTGCAATCTAGACAAATACATACCCTATTCTAGGTTAACTTATTTCTTTTTATGCCCTTAATACCTAATAAACATCAACAAAACAAAACTAGATTGTTTTAAAACACCACAAACATAATGCCTGGCAATGTTTATATACATTATTATATATTAATATATATTTATATATTTATTTATACTCATGCACATACTATCACCTGGCATGCATACGAGATTAGTTGTCCAGTCTATCAGCTACAATTTCACCATAAGGCCCCCTAGAAACTCGTATATACTCATATATGAGAATCTTGAAAAGCAAAAAAGAGGACACGTGAACATTGAACTATTCTAGACAAAATATTACAAAGCAAACGAGATTGCCTGGCCTTCTGTTAAAGCAGCTTACAGTATATTACCGTTTGACTTGTTGTTTAGTGTTTAGAGGCTATATTTACGAAATATATATTTCAATTGTGGATCCTAATGTTAGCGGAAATACTTTCATGATTTCTCTATATACATTTAAAGTTTTGCTATTATTTTACCGTATCAGCGTCGAGAGAAGCTCAGACCAGGTGATCAAACCAGTGAACCTAGACGCTCTCAGCAATTGGGTGGGGAAGATGCCACCCGATGTCATCAGGTGAGTGGGTGCGAGCGCTCGTGTGCGTGCATGCGCGCGCTCGTATGCATGCGTGCATGCGTGCGCGCGTTGGCGTGCGCGCGGTTAGGTGTACG